TAATCTCCGATGTACTTAAACCCATCATAGCAGTCACTATGTCAATCTATCTCATTGAGGGGCCTCCTCTCTTATGTTGACCCTCTACTTTTCCAAGCATGCTGCCCTTTTCCAAGAACTGACCATCCCTGATAACATGTCCGAAGTACTGGAGGTCTCTTCTCAACATCCTTACTTCTAAGGAGCACTCTGACTGTACTTCTTCCAAGGTCTAATATTTAGATGAAAAATGTGTTTAAGTGAAACTTGGTAGACAGAAAATGTATTGAAATTTCTATAAGGATTTTTTCCCACAACACTTTAGTGTATTTGCATTGGAAAACATTTGAGTAGATGTTAGAATTAATTGGTTTTTGTTGTTCTTTGGTTCAACACTGCAACCCAGCCCAGTGAGGCAGAGAAGAATTATATGATAGTGTTTCCGAGATTGTAATATTGCTGGAAGAAGACCGCCACATATTTTTAACACAATTCATTCAAATTGCAAGGCAATTTAACTATCCGCTAGGCTCGGGGACCACTGGATGGCAATCAATTTAGTTTTGGAATATTGTTGTTGTTGTTGTTGTTGTTAAGTGTTGTCGAGTTGTAGATGACCTATAGGGACCCTATGAATGAAAGACCTGAACATTTGCATAATTTTCTTCTTTTCTCCACATTCATAGAGTTTCCAGAGGCAAGCTGTTTCAGAAGTGGATGTCACTTCACTTCTGCTTCCCAGGTTGTTTTAATTGGGGAGCCCGACCAAACACTGTCCACCATGGGTGACCATTATCATATTAGATATATCAGTGTCACAGTGTTAGCATCACAGCAAGCACGAATTACCTCTTTTGGAATATTTTATTAAAAACACTTGGTGGTGCAAATGGTTAGGTGCTGGATTACTAACTGACCTTTTTGCATAGAAAAGAGACCTTGATCTTCTCCAATAGAGATTAAACCAACCCAACCCATTGCTATTGATAGATTCCAGATTATATTGATTCCATAGGAAAGAATAGAATTGATCCTTCAGGTTTCCAAGGCCCTAAACTTGACATCAGGAAATTGTCATATGTTACTCCAGAAGAATAAATTATTTGTTCAACTAAAGAGAGGGACATCATGCTTGGGAGGGTGGAGGGACGGCGCAGGAGAGGAAGGCCCTCTATGAGGTGGATTGATTCGGTGACTGGGATAATTGGAATGGGAGTGTCAGAGACAGTGCGACTGGCACAGGACAGAGAGGAGTTTAGGGCTGTTGTATATAGGGTCGCTATGAGTTGCAAGCGACTCAATGGCACATAACAACAACAACAAAGATTTTTTTAGTTAATAGCCAAAATCTTAACCCCTGGGCTTCCAGGGCTTATTTCAATGAAGATCATAGTTAGTAAATCCCTGTTCTACTCTGTTACCTGGGATTGTTAGGAATTGAAAATGATTTGACAGCACTTAACTACAAAAAAGAAAAACAATTTTTTTTACTTGTAATACATTTTTGTCAGGTATATTAGGTAGGCACATTAGAGAAAACATAAATAGTGAACTCTTTCTGCAAAACATAGTGATGTGTGTTAAAGATTTTTTTTTTCCTTAACCTAAAGTAATACGCATATGCTGACATGCTGACTAAGTAGTTAGGTCACAACATGATTTAAGAGCCATATACCACTATTCACACACACACACACACACACACACACACTCACACACACAAAATTAGATTCTTGGATATGGCAAAATTAAGAGCTATCAGAGCAATTTCAAGTTCCAGTCTATCTGAGAAATTATATAAATTCATCTAAGGTTAAGGAAAATATTTGTTTTGCTGTTACTGTGTACAATTGAGTTGGAACCAACTCATAGCTGACCCTTCTGAGGGTTTTTTGAGGCAGATAATCACATGAGCGTGTGTTACCTATCCTTCTCCCATGGAGCAGCTGTTAGCCTTGAACAGCATGACTTCAGGATTGCAGCATAGCTTTTTGCAACTAGGCCACCAGAGCATATTTACCAAGAATTAAATCTCTGCTTCAAGCTTATCCAGCTCCATGAGTGTAGGAATAAATAAGAGAATTCTGATTTGAACCATTTTTTTTCACAATTGTTATACATAAGAAGATACCTAATTGAATTTAGAGAACTTAGAAAATCTTCTCTAAATAATCTAGCCAGGATGCTAATATTTCGCTCAAATCAGGTAAAGTATACATCAGGGAGCAGAATGGAAGTGGAAAGAGGAAGCTCAAATAATTAGGTAACAAATTTTTTGATAATTCATTTGAAATGGTGACCAAAATATCTATCATACAATACAGTATGGTCTAGAAGAATTTTCTGTAGTTCTATCACCACTAAAACAAAATCTCGAAGTTACTCTGTAAAACAGCAAAATTAAATGAAAAGCCTTCAGTGTAAATAGGACTTCAAGATAGAGCTAAAATAAAAGCCAGTAAAGCTACAGTGTTATTATTGATAATAGAAAAATTTGCTTTCAAGTTTATTCTGATTCATGACAATTTTTGACACACAATGTGTGTCAAAGAAGAGCTATACTCAATTATATTTTCAATGGGTAATTATTCAGAAGTAGATTGCTAAGTCATTCTTTGCAGGTTCCTTGGCATGAACTAGAACATCTATGTAATGAGTAACCAAGGGTGTTAATTAGTTTTCATAGCAACCCTCCATTGGGTTTCTGAGGCTGGAAATCACATTAGAACAGTGCTCATATTTCTTAAATGGACCCCACTGGTGGATTCCAATTGTAGGAGATATGCAGCCTTCCAGTTAGCAGTGCAACTTGCTATGGAATATGTCTGCAGGGCTTTTAAGAAGCAGAAAGTACAAGTAAAAATAGCAGTGTGACTATCTTTCTAGAATCTTTTCCAGAAAATTAGTAAGAAGGAAAGAGTGCTTAGTAATGCCAAATGATAAATTTTTCAGGAAAAAAAATTACAAACCTGAAACCATACTCTACCACAATCAAGTCAATTGCAACTAGTATTGATACTCCTTGAAGTTTCTGAGGTTATAAATCATAATGGGAGGAAATTTTTCATCTTTCTCTTGCAGAGAATCTGGTGGATTCAAACCTTTTTTTGGCTACACATTATGCCACCAGTATACTTTCAGTCATCAATAAACTTACTATGAGCAGTTTCAATGGACTGAATATGTTCATAAGCCATATCATACACAGTTGAAAAAGATGGAAGTTGGAAATTAGGAGATATTATAGCAGATTGGTGAAGCAGAGGAGGAAATTAAGGGTGGGGGGAAAACTCTGTACAACACTTTCGGAATTATACAATCACCACTAACTTGACAAAGGTAAAGGAGTATGCTGAGGTAAAAGAAAAATGGATTGAAACCGTGAAATGAAGATTACATTCTTCAGGGGTGTGTGTGTGTGTGTGTGTGTGTGTGTGTGTGTGTGTGTGTGTGTGATGTGAGTGAAAGTTGACAAAACATGTTAGTTTTTCTCTCAACAATTCATAGAAATCTTGTTTTGGCACTCTATTGAAATACACAAATTTAACAACATTTGTCTCACTTTGTGTAACTCATTTCCATTTATCTTGCTTTTCTATCTCTTTCTGCCTTTTGATCCTTTTTTCTAAGTTTGTTCTTTTGATAATTCTGGACTGCCAATTAGTAGACCATAACCATTCTAATAATATTTCTGATTTTGACCAACAAACTGAATTGTTTTGGAGGAAGGGTAACCAGGTGTGCTCCTTAGAAACAAGAATCATCATTCTTCATCTTACATATTTTGTGCATGCTGTGCAGAGGCATCATTCCTTTGAAAAGGACACTATGAAGGGAAAGGTAGAAAGTCATCAAAAGAGAGGATTATCCTCAGAAGGATGTGTTGACACAGTGGCTGTAGTGCTTATTGCATAAGATTGAGGATTTGAAGTATTTGCTGCAGAAGATCAAAGAGTGCAGTATGGATTGTATCTCAAGATCAAGAAAACAAAAATCCTCACCACTGGGCAAATAGGCAACATCATGACAGATGGAAAAAAGATTGAGGCTGTTAATGATTTTATTTTATTCAGATACACAATCAACCGTCAGAAACTCAACACAAGTTGCATTGGTGAGCACATTTACTGTCAAGGACCTCTCCAGAAAAGAAGACTAACGTGAACCTTAGACTAAAGACTGAAGTGAACCTAATCCAAGCCACAGTTTTCCCAATTTCTTGCTATATGCATCCAAGAACTGGATATCGACTAAGGATAACAAAAGAAAAAAATCAATGTCTTTGAATTGTAGTACTGGAGAAGAGTATTGAAAGCATACCATGGACTTCCAAAAGAACAAACAAGTCTGTCCTCGAGAAAGAGAAAATCGGTTTGCTCCTTGAAAGTAAGGATGTTGAAATTCCATCTTATACACTTTGTGTATGTTGTGAGAAAGGATCAGTCCTTGAAGAAGGACATCATGTTTGAAGGGTAGAAGATCAGCATAGAGAGACCCTGGTTGAGATGGATTGACACAGTGACTGTAGCAATGGGGTTAGGTGTGCCAGAGATGGTAGAGTTGGCTCAGGATAGGACAGTGTTCAGAACTGCTGTTTACACTCTCACTAAGGGTCATAGACTACTTGAGGGCACATAACAATAACAATCATATTTCCACTTATTTGTTAATAGCATAAATATTTAAAAATGTCAGAGGACAGGGAATTCTAAGAGTTAAAAACTTTGAAATTTTTTGTTTCAGATAAATGTTAGTGTGTGTGTACACTAGTACACAGATTTCAAGGTAAGATGACTATCTTATCATGTGTTTTAGTAAAAAAGGTTTTAAGTCATATTTTAAACCTATTAAATATATCAAAAGAGTTAAGAACTAAAATATTTTAAAAATATTTATTATCAACTTAAGCATATACTGTAAAATATATCACCAAACCAAAATGCATCATAAATATCTCTAACTTCTCTAATATTATGTTTCTCATTTCTTTATACATATTGTGCAGAAATCAAGAACAAGAAATGAGAAACCATACAGCACTGACTACATTCATCCTCCTCGGACTCACAGAAGACCCACAATTGCAGATTCTGATTTTTATATTTCTACTTATCACCTACATGTTGAGTGTAATTGGAAACCTAACCATCATCTGTCTCACAATAGTAGATTCCCACCTTAAAACTGCCATGTACTTTTTCCTCCAAAATTTCTCTTTCTTAGAAATCTCCTTCACCTCTGCCTGCATTCCTAGATTCCTATATAGTATCTCTACAGGTGATAGAACGATTACTTATAATGCTTGCATGAGTCAGTTATTTTTCACAGACCTGTTTGGAATAACGGAATTTTTCCTCCTGGCCACCATGTCCTATGATCGATATGTGGCTATCTGCAAACCCTTGCATTACATGATTATCATGAACCACAGAGCCTGCAAGAGGCTTCTTTTGGGCTGCTGGATGATTACTTTGTTAATCATGATCCCACCTCTTAGCCTGGGACTGGAGCTTCAGTTTTGCGATTCTGTCATTGACCACTTTGTCTGTGATGCCAACCCTCTCCTAAAGATCTCATGTACAGACACATGGTTCATAGAGCAAATAGTGATTGCCTGCTCTGTCATCATTTTTATCATGACCCTTGTTTGTGTGCTATTGTCCTACATATATATCATCAGAACAATTCTAGGGTTCTCCTCAGTACAACAAAGGAAAAAAGCCTTTTCTACCTGTTCTTCCCATATTATTGTAGTTTCCATCACTTATGGAAGCTGCATTTTTGTCTATACAAAGCCTTCAGCAAAAGATGACATGGCCATTAATAAGGGGGTGACAATACTAACTACTTCCCTATCCCCCATGTTAAACCCATTTATATATACCTTGAGGAACACACAAGTCAAACAAGCTTTTATTGAGTTTATCAAAAGAATTGCATTATACATAAAGCATTAGGAAAGCAATAATATCGAGATGCTAAGGACATTTTCTCAAGTTTCTATCCTGTATTGTCTCTTCCTGATCTAAATGTATCCTTGGCCATTCAGGGTCAAAAATGACTTACTTACATTTTACTTCTCAATAAACATCTTTAAGGATAATAACTTTTAGTAAGAAAATAATTGCTTAAAGAAATCTAAGCATGATCATACCTTCAGAATTTCCTTACTAATAATGCTGAACATTTGAGGGGAGGAGAGTTGCCCCCAAAAATTATGGGTGCAAGGGTACAAGACTTTTTTATAAAACAAGCTTAATCAAATGTAGGAAAAATAATAATATTTAAAAAATAGAATTTTAAAATAAAATGTTAAGGTTTTAAGATTCTCAATAAAAATTACTGATATGATAATATTAAAATAACAAAATTACAGATATTATTGATTGATGATGGTCCAACTGAACATAGCCATTTACCAAAAACTTCTCAAATTAAGCTAAAGAGCAGATAGAAATACACTACTAATGCCTGGTAAAGAAATGAAGATTCAATAAAAAAAAATTTAAAAATCAAGTAGGATTGATAATGATTCACTAACACATTAAAGAATGGATGAGTAATATTTACATTAAGCAAAATATGACAATAACTCTAAGAAAGCTAATTGGGTTGGAATCTGACTGACAATTAGTAAGTCAAACATACAGGAGATGAACATGACAAAGGGAAAGCAAAAACATTAAAACAATAACCAATAAAATAATTTTACTCTTAAATGATAATCTTTACTATATAAAAATCTAAAAGAAAATCCAATAATATAGCTATATTTTGTTAAATTATTCCCTCTTTTCTACTTTTGGCCCTATATGTTAAGTTTCTATTGATCCTAACTCTCTATGCTCTTTCAATTTTAGTTTCTAGAAATTCCCACCAGGAATATTACTTTACATTTTTTTCTCTCCAATTATCATAATACTGACTCTTGGTCCAGTTTTAAAGATTCCTATTTCCTTGATGTCGAGATGCAATTCATTTTGAAGGCTCTAGTTGTCAAATTTTTAATTTCTTCAGTAAGTTCTTCAAGTCTTTACTTTCAGCAAGCAAGATTATGTCAGATTGCTAACAAATCTGTCTCCAGTCCTACTGTCACATTCTTTTTCATATGGTCCAGTTTCTCAGATTATTTTCTCAATGTGCATATTCAATAGGTATGGCTTAAGAAACTCTGGTAGCCTAGTGGTAAGAAGCTGTGCTGTAGTCCCAGAGGAATGTGGTTCAAATCTTGCTCTGCAAGAGAAGAATGAGCAATCTCCTCCTGTATAATTTACTGCCTCTGAAAATCCACTGGAGGGTCAGTTATGGGTCGGTTCAGATTCGATGATACACAACAACAACCACCATATAATTCAAATGTGTTTCTTTTCTGATCTTTTAGAACAAGTTCCTGAGAGTCAAAATAAGACCTTCAATTTATGCCATCTGAATTTTAAAAATAACTCAGAAATATGCTGGATACATTGAATACTAACAAATGATGATCAGGCAAGTTTTAAAGTGATATCACAAAGGGATGACATTCACGAAGGAAACAAAAGGTCATGTAAAACAAGGAAAAAACAGATCACAGTACAAAGTGATGAAGTAAGAACTAAACAGAGATCTCAAATAGTAGCTGAGGGGATAAGGAGTTAGAAAACCAAAAGTGAAGAACTCACAGAACATTTCTCTAACTGAAAGAAGTAAAGAACCAATTCAAGTCTCAAGTTCCCCATAGATGGTGTTATGGTCAAAATATTAAATTGCTCAGAAAGCACCAAAAGAAGGAAGGAATACACAGAATAACTGTACTAAAAAAAAGTTATCTGACACTGAACTATTAGTATATAATCAAGTAAAATAAAACTCTCCAAGAATTTAGGGTGTAACAACTGAAAAGTTTCATAAAATGTGCTCACTACTCTATACCAAAAAACTTGGAAGACAGCTACAGGGTCAACTTACCAGAAGAAATACATATATATCCCCACTTGAAAAAGAGAAAATATGACAGAACAAAATGTGGGAATTATCAAACTCAGTTTGCCCTGAACCTGTACTGTAGTTAACAAATCAAAAAGCCTGGAATGGAATCCACAGGAAACTGAAGAGTATTCAAATTAGATTCAGATGAGATGAAAGATCTTATTGTTGATGTCAAATGTGTACACTGCTTACCTTGATTTATTGTTCATAATCATATGGTAATACTAGAAAAGATGAAGCTGAGAGAGGCAAAAGTGTAACTGAAGAGGAGTTAATGTAGTTCTACCTACTTATAACCACAACTACTTTGAACTCAGTCATAAAGAAATATTGGTGATATTTATTACTAGTTTAGAACTTGGAACTAAACCTTTTTTATGTATAACAAATGACTAGTGTAGTGAACATGTGTATTCTGAAACATATGTTTTATTATTGTTAAAGTCTGTTGAGTCAACTGCAACTCACAACAACCCTAAGAACAACAAATCAAAACCTTACCCTATCCTGTGCTTTCTTCCCAATCACCACCATGCTCAAACCTATGCTTGCACTCACTGTAGGTCATCTTACTGAAGGTCTTTCTCTCTTTCATTGATTTCATATTTTTCCATCATGATTTCTTCTTTCGCAAGGACTGGTGTCTCCTCATAACATGTCCAAAGTATGTGTCACAAAGTTTCATCTCTAAGGAGCACCTGGTTGCAATTCTTCCAAGGCACAGTAGTTTGTCTTTTGATAGTTGGTGTTATAGTCAATACTATTTGCAGATAATACAATTCAGAGTATTCTTTGCTCTTTCCTCTTCATTGTCTGACTATCATATGCATATAAATAATGGAAAATACCATGGCGTGGACAAGTCACATCTTAGTCTATAAACTGACAACTTTGGTTTTTTAAGCCATCAAGAGCAGAAATGTCCAGAGATCCATGTGTTTTCATTTTTCCAGAGCTGCTACCAGAGATGTTGAGTGTAGATGCAAATAAAATGAAATTATTAGCAAGTAAAGTAATATCCCCATCTAGTATGATGTTGCATTTTGGTCCAATTATGAGGAATTTTTTTTTCATATGGGTGGAATCTATATTGAAGAATGTAGTCTTTATAGAAGGCACAGGGATCTTGTCCATCTTCTACTCCACAGGAGAAAGATAAGCAATGTCTTTCTGTACAACTTCTGAAAATCCACTGGAGGAACAGCTGTGAGTTGGTTCCAACTTGATGACATACAGCATATTAAGTCTTTGTAGATTGGTAGGCTTTTAAGTAATTCATGTTTTATTCATTTTCTGTAAGCCAAGTGTTATCTACATAATTTATGTTGTCTATAGGTTTTCCTTAAATATTGATGCTACATTATCATACATCTGGTCTGTTGTTATTGTTGTATACCATCAAGTTGAACTGATCCATAGCTGACCCTCCAGTGGGATTTCAGAAGTAATTAATTGTATGGAAGGAGATTGTAAATTTTTCCTGCCGAGTAGCTGGTAAATTTGAACCACCTACTTCTGGGTTGCCAGATAAACTTCTTACAGCTAGACAACCAGAGCTAGACCACTCTAGATCTAGTCTAGCTTCTTTAATTATTTCTTTAGCATATATATTGAATGCATATGGAGAAATACTATAACCTTGATGTAGACTTTTTCTGGTTTTCAACCCTGTAATATCCTTTTTTTTTATTTGAACAAGTGATTCTTTGTCTATATATAGATTTTTGCCTAAGCAAAATGAAGTGTTCTAAAATTCATATTATTTGCAACATTTTCTAAAATATGTCATGATCTACACAGGTGAACACCTTTGCATAGTAAATATTACACAGATGAACATCTTTCTACACAAAACATCCACACACCTGGAAAACAGACAATATCAACCTGAAGAAAGAAAATAATAAAGAATTCCTATTCTCAATGTTTTCTGTAATTTATTACTGTTTAAATAGTCTTTCTAATTACTTGCTATGAATCTAAGAGCTGGGCAATGAAAAAGATGACAGAAAAAGAATTGAGCTTTGGTGTTGAAGAGCACTGAACCTCCCATGGATAGCCAAGAGAACAAACAAGTCCTGGAGAGGGTGATGCCAGAGTGCTCTTTGGAGGCAAGAAGGATGAGGCTTTTCCCATATACTTTGGGTATGTTGCTAGAAGGTGCTGTTCCTTGAAGAAGGATATGATGCTGGGAAGAAGGAGAGTCAGCGAGGAGAGGAAGACCCTCAACCAGGTGTATTGACACAATGATTAATGCAATGGGCTCTTCTGTGTTAGGAAATGTGAGGATGGCACAGGACAGAATAGAGTTCAGACCTTTTTGTTCATAGGGTTGCTATGAGTCGTATTTTTTTCTATAATTATATTTTATTAATTTTCATAAACATTTACAGAGATTTTGGGTTTCCATTCATTCATTGTTGCACTATTCTCTCTACCCTCCTTCCAGTTTGTTCTTGTCCAAATGCCACAGTGCTTGTCAAACCAGTTCTGATTAATCTTCTTTGTCAGTGTGTCCTTTGCCATTCCCTATCACTCCTCCCTGAGAGAGACTTCACCCTGAGTATGAGTCGTACTTGATGATAATAACACATATAGTAAACACCTAACAACAACATACTGTATAATGTCTTTGCATAGTAAACAAAATACAAGATAACATCTTTCTGACATTTTCAGCTTTTAGCCATGATCAACCTGATATTAGAAATATTCCTTTTTCCACAGCTACCTATGAATGAAGATTGAATTTCTGGAAGTCATTTGCTCATGTGCAAATAGTCAGTCAGTTCTGAATAATCTTCAGCAAGATTTTACTTGCATGTGATATTAGTATCTTTTTAAATAGTTTCCAGGTTCTGTCAAGTCACTTTTTTTTTGTAATGGAAATATGTACAGCTCTTTTCTGGTCACTTGATTATGTAGCTGTCTTCAAAATTTCTGGCATAGACTATTAAGCATATCCAGGATTGCTTCTGTTTGCTCAAAC